TGTTAAAGTAATTGTGACTGTTTTCAAGAATCAAAGATTTATATAAATTATTTCAAGATGGCATTTCTGAACTGCCAACGCCACAGCCTTTCAAAGTTGCTGGGCAAAATACCAACTTGTCCAGTGCATAGAACAATTTCATCAAGCGATTAGAATACTATTTACATGTAATTGAAATAACAACAGAGGAAAGAAAAAAATCTATTACACCTGGGAGGAGAAGAATTTAAAAGCTATTTTCCAAACAACAAAACGTCAAGACAACTCATACAGCCAAACAGCTCGAGAAATTACACACTACTTCTTCGATCCAAAGAAAAATATAGCATATGAAAGACATTGATTTAGGCAGCAAAAACAAAACTCTGATTTAATTGTAGTCAATTATATTGCGAGACTCATAAAACTAACTCTCAATACCATGTGATTGTCCTAACAACACTGTAGAAGATATGATACGCGACCAAGTTATGGAACACTGTACATGTACCTTAAAACAGTTAAAGATCAGATCACTCCGCGAACTAGATCTAACATTGGAATAAAAGTTTAACACATTGCTCACACAACTGAACTTGCAAATATGCATGCCAACGAAATACAAGTCGACAAGAAATCAACACAAATTAGAATATCCTACTAATCATGATGACGTAAGCCATATTCAAAACAAACTAGACAGCGGAAGCATTACCAGTCAAGAGCCAGACCAGAACCAAAACTACCGAAATCCAAGAGCTGCTAACGTTGTGGAGGAAAAGGTAATTCTGGTCATGAATGTATTAAATCTCGTAATATTACTTGCAGCAAATGCAACAAGCTATGTCATTATGGAAATATGTGCAAATCGAGGAGAGTCACGAGTTCTGTAAATGGCTATCAAGATTCCATAAATGTAAATGATCAACAAGAGGAATGTGTATTCAACATATATTCAAAATATCAGTCCCTATATTTGCAAGTTGAAATAGAATGAATAGAATATAAATTGCCCGTAGATTCTGGGGCTATGTAAACTGCCTTGTAATACCATGCAACTTTTGAAAAAGTGAAAACAAAATCTACATATACTAATGTCATTCAAAGATCTACCCTGATGCTCAAGAGATACCTCTGAAAATTCTCTGAATTGCAAAGATGAAAAAAGTAATTAAGTCAAAAGGAAACAAAAATAAAATTTCACATCATTGATAAAGATTGCAAACAGTACTGTGACTTCAAACTGCAGTTGATCTAGGGTGACCTAAATTCTGCATTAATAATGTGAAAACAAATCAAAATAAATGTAACATGAAAAATATATTTTCACAGATACATATCAACAAGACTGCTGTTAAGTTTATTTCACAGGCAATTGTGCAGAATACCTTTCAAAATCCGACAGCAAGTCCGAGAAAATAAAACAAGTGTACTAGATTCTGACGTCATAGAAAAGGTTAAAGGTGCTACAAAATGGGCGGCACTCCTGATAATTATTCCTAAATGCAATGGAAACATGAGCACTTGTGTAGACATGAGTCAAGCAAATTCAGCAGTTGCACGTGAACGTTTTTCCATGCCAAACATAGAACTTAATGGAGCCAAATTCTTCACTAAACTAAATCTTAACATGGGGTATGATAAGATAGAGCTAGACCCACAATCAGGATATGTCAATATGTCGTTATTTCCTGTGCTTCAGAAGTATACTAACGTATAATACAACACACACGCTGCGTAGAGTTCTATAATGCCTAAGAGACAAAAAACCTTACGCTGAGCAAAAGTTAATGTGAAATCTGCAAGACAACCATCACATTTATGGGTCATACCCTAACCAGAAATGGACTCATGTCACATAATGACAAAATATACAGGCAGTGCTGAATACACCTACCCTGACCCCCTCAAATGTTTAAGAAGTTAAAATTTTCTCAGGACTGTTAAACTACTGCTCAAATATTTTTCAAAAGTTTGCAATAATTTCGGAACTTATCAGAAAATTAACAAGAAAGATGTCCCGTTCGACTGGGGAAAGAACAACAAATTGCATTCGAAGAATATGATTAAAGGCACTGAAAACAAATGCTTGCTAATGATATGGCCTTCAAAAACACCATCTGCAGTTTGGGCTACATGTATTTTGCTTCAAAAACAAAATGATGGGCATTGAATACCTGTAGCATATGTAAGAAGAACGATAAATGATTTTGAAAGGATTTACAGTCAAATTGAAAGAGAATGCTAAGCAGTAACTTTGGGGATAGAAAGTTTCAACATTTAAAGTAATTAAGGACCATAAACCGCTAGTCAACATTTTCAAGCCAACACACAAATCAATTTGAAATTTATTACTGAAGAGAATCTTGACCGGGGGCATTTGTGTTTACCAAACACTTTTATCTAATACTATATGCTTAACCAAACAAATACTTATTTTAAATTGACTAATAAAATAAAAGAAATATTTATACAAGTCGGAAGACCTGATATCTGGTTAACATTATTAATAATAACTTGCACATAATTGTCAATCAAATTTTAAGAGACCAAATAAAAGCAACATTAGGCAAGCTAGTTATAATGTTCAAGTTAATGAGAATCTTTAAATACATGTAATTTATAAATGCACTAGAATAATTATGAGAAATATTTGAAGGAATAACAATCAACACTATTCAATTATTCAAATTTCGGACTTGTAATTACCGCCTTCCAACCGAAACAGCGAGTGGTCTTGAGATAAAACAATAAATAACATGTTCAAGCTCTGCAACTATTGAAAAATAGATTCTAGCCAACATAATTTTCTAAAATGCCCATCTTTTAATCTTGAACCTAATTCAGTTAAAAACTGCTTATTTTATCTTAAAAGAATTTACTATCATGTAAAAATGAACAAGCTCTAATGAAGATCAGTCATGTTTGTGCTATTGTGAAATAAAGTAATATGTCTGTTTGTCTGTCTGTCTGTCTGTCTGTCTGTCTGTCTGTCTGTCTAACTGTCAGTCTGTCAGTTTCTACGACTACGGTCAAGGCCACTGAACGTGGGCTTGAAACTATTTCAATATCTATGTTATATACATATAAATGGTGGTTGTTGTGTCCGCTCTGTAATTAACTTCCATATACATGAAAGTTTCAATTTATGTATTTATTTTTTTTTCATGGGGGGAGGGGGTATTTTAGTTTTTTGTGTCAGTATTATTGCGCACAATTTCTTGACATATCATCTTGAGCGCCATTTTTATATTTTACTTTTTGATTTTTATCTATTTATTTATTTATTTATTTATAGCTGATAGCTTATTAGAAGTTATTTGTTTCTCTAACAAATGACCATAAGACCCAATGTCTGAGATCAATGGCCTAGAGAAATAACTCTTCAAGTGTGAGGATACATGCAGCGTGCCTGGATTACTAACAAAAAATCCGATTTCCTCCCTATTGATCATATAAAATATCTACATATACTAGGAGTGAATTTTCCACAATATATTAAAACGAGAAACATCTTGCAGATACCTTTCAAGTGTGTATGGCATATGATATTTATCGCACAGATTTTATGTATCGTATGAAGATTGTAAAGATTGTTGTATATAATCATATATGAAACAGCTTTTCGGTATTGTTGTATATAATCATATATAAAACAGCTTTTCGGTAGCTTTTGTGTATGTATGAAACATGATATGAATCAAATTTGCCTCCAAACTGACAGCTTAAAAATCTATCGTGTATATATCCTTTGTAAGGTAACATATGATATAACAATACTCATTGGACTTTAATGATTGTAGATATCATTATTTGCGTTCCTTTCTATTTGTTATGCCTTAACAATTAACGATTATGTTCGGAGATAATTCGTTTGATGTTACTAAAGCGCGGCGTCAGTAGGCTGTTCAATACACGTGGCGTCAACTTACTGAACTGAATATGTTTGTTTCAAAATTTAACATAAAAAATATGTTTAAAACAGAAACTAGAATAGCTCAATAGGGAGAGAATCAGATTAATTAGTAATGCAGGGCGCACTGCTTCTGTCCTCGGTGGAACAGAAATTTCTCTATGGCATTGTTCTCGGACAATGAGTCTTATGGTCATTTGTCTCCCAACGCTGGTTCAGAAATCACGTTGGACAAGAAGTCAGTCGCTCGAGGAGAAATAAGTAGTTTCTAATTAGGTATCAAAAAAGTCGGTCATGTATATCGAATGCTGAGATATGACAAAAATTGTTATTAAAATCGGCTAAAATATTGCAAACAAAACAACAAAGAAAAACAAAACAAAGAAACACAACAACAAAACCCCGACCCCAACACCCCCACCCCCTCAAAAAAAAAAATTAAAATAAAATAACAAAAAAAACATATACACATGAACATGTCAGGAGTTAAAGCTTTAACAGAATATCTTGTACATATAATTTGTCATTGTGGAAGATGTAACATATGAAGGAATTGGTAAAATTTTAAGTTTTGGACGTTCGCAGATGTTTTTATATAGCGGTCATCACGGAGTCTTCAATGTGTCTCGTTAGTTCCATTCCATTAAAAGAGGCATTTTGTCTCCAAGTAAAACAAAAAGAATAATCGTAGAGTCATGAGTCGTACTCATGATTGAACATTTATGTTATAACTTTTTGATCTTTGTTTCTCTTTTAACTGTTCACGTCATGCATTATCTTTTGTGATGACGTTGGTCATTGGGGGCGATTCGAAGGGATGAAAATTGATTTTCACCTAATTTAGTGGTGCTCTTTACATCAATCGTGACTGCATACACATTTCATCTTTTATGTAAAACTCCGATTAAATGCACAAAATGTAGAACAAGTGTCATTATGAACATGTGTTCATATACGCCTATTTTGATTCAATATGGTGACAAAAGAAAGTGATAACTTTCATTCTTTACAAACTTTTGTTTTACTTTTCCTTTATTACTTGAAATAGAAAGAAGATAAAAGCTGATGAAAGCCGCAATTACATATGCTGATAATGTTTGATTCCCTATAAATGCTGGAAGTGTTAATACAAAATCAACATTTTAGGAAATATTTCCTAAATCTAGCAGAAGAAGCAAAGCATTAAGGTATGTACAGTTATGTATTTATTTATTCATTGTTTGTATATTCCATGTTTTAAAATTTGTTACTTCAAGTTTCGACAAAATACTTTTAAACTGAATTTACTTTTTCGAATATTCGTACTTAATTTAATTTTGATAAGTGGATTTTTGTTAAACGTTCGACGTTAACTTTTACTTCACTTTGTGTATTTAGAGGCCGTTAATGAATCATGTTTCTCAGTTAATTTATTGAAGGATCGAGTTGAAGTTTATACTGTGCAATCCAACGGCTAGCTTAACACTGTTTCAAAAAATAATAACTCTTTTAAAATGGGGCAAATATGTGCCTCAAAATGTTGTAGAAATTGATGTAGAACATTTAACATGCTTAACACTTAAAGAAGTAATGAATATGAAATGATTTGTGATAAAGGTAGCAAAACGTAAACACAATAAAATATTGACTTCCATACAAAATAAATCAGTATAAATGTACTCATTACAAAATGCCAAAGATTTTTTTTAATGAAAATTTTAAAAAAATGGCTCAGCTTTATAGCCAATAAGAGATCTTTGGAAAATGTTTAAGAATATCAAAAATAAGAATAAAAACGTTTTTCATTAGCATTTTCAGACTTTATGACGATATTCTAGCAAATTAATTTATTCAAATGCTTATAATGTATTTAACATTAAGCGGGTATTTCCGGTGTCTTTGTACATCACGTGATGATGTCAACACGTAAAGTTTGCAACTGTTTGTATGCTTACAAGTGTGCTGAAAAATTGTCAGTCCTGCAACACATGCATAGCATTTGTTTTATACAATATGTTAATTTTAAATCATTTCATTAATTTAAGGTCGAATATCGCATAATGATGCGCCTAGTTTCACTCGCTATTACCTTAGCCGTTTTCTTGGTGGATTCCTCGAAAGCTGGTACGTATTATATTTAATACAGTAACTTAGTAAAAATTAATAAATTAGCATGATAAGTAGCACAATTAGCATAATAATTAACTAAATCAGATGAATTAAACGGTTTAAAGAATATAACATTGAGTCGTAAGAGATGCTGCTTTTCACATTGTCTTTTATAATCTTTTTCAGACATGTAAAGTCTGTAATTGTCAAATAGCTTTTAATTTGTTGTTGATTTTTCGGAATAATCGCCACTTTTCAGAATTCGTATGTCACCACTGGACTGAAGAAGACTACAATGCGATGCCCCAAGGTCGTACACCAGAGGATGAAAGACAATATTGTGAAGATGTCTTAGGCTATGTGTTTACACAAGGAGAAAATGAATTCTATCCAAAATGTGGACAATGCTGGTGCTGTAAACCAGATGGTATATTGATTTAAAATGTGTTTTACGATTTATGTTTTTATGACTATCTTAATTATTTTCATTTCCAAGACAGAGAGTTTAACTGTCCATCATCTTGTGATTCTTCAGCTTGTGCCCGGCATAAATACTTCTCAACTAATTTTAAATTCAACTTTCGTTAATTAAGAATTACCATAAATCATTGTACCAAATTGTCACCTAAGTGCAGTAACAGACTAAAGCCTTACATAATTTAATAGGAGATAACCCGGCTAAATGGCTTTCTGACGCAGGTAATTACTTAGTTTTAAATGATAGATTTAAACTATTTTTATTTCTTAAAAATTCAAACAACACAGAGAGTAATACTGTCCCACCAGCGTGCTTTTCTTCAGCTGGCGTCTGGTATACAGACTTTTCAACAAACATTAAATTCAACTTCTTTCTGTGTCACAATAACTTCCGAAATTAACGCTTGAACACAATTAAGAGCGTTACTAAAGTAGCTGACATTTTGGAATGTGTATGAATTATAAGTGCATAATACATGTATATCACTTATCGATGTCACCACATTTACGTATTTGAAAGCTCATGTGAATGGAATCGGAGCCAATACTATAACTCTTTCTGGAAACCTTTCTAGAGTAGTCAATCGACTTCGTGAAAGAGATCATGCTTACATGAATAACGTATAACTAATTCCGTCGGTAATTTATTACCTATGCAGCATACAAAGGTCCTACGATCAACTTGAATTGTACATCCTCGGTTAAGAACCCTTTGGTAATATCGATTTCAATTTGTACCAAAAGTGATAGAAAAGTGTGTGTTCATATTTTAACGTATGAGTTGTTATGCGATTTTATCTGCGGTTTAAACAAAAATAAGATCCATATAAGCATATATATAAGTTTTTTGCAACACAGGCATATCGAGACAATAGTGAATTATATGGCATGAATAATCATTCAATAATACTTATATTTGCCATGTTTTATGCCATATTTGTGCTCATTTGTTTTACATTGCAGGAGAGGAACTTCTGGTTAATGAAGATTTGGTATGCTACCACTGGACTGAAGAAGACAACAAAGCGATGCCCCAAGGTCGTACAGCAGAGGATGAAAAATATTATTGTGAAGATGTTTTAGGCTATACGTTTTCAAAAGGAGATTATGTAAACTACCCGAACTGCGGGACATGTTGGTGTTGTAGACCAAAAGGTATCAACTTCATTGTTTTCAGTCTCGTGTATGTTATTACAAACTAAACAAAAGAACAAGTTATTCTTTCATTTCTAGGGCATATTGGCCTTTGCATTATTTTCGTTAATATTGGTCCATTCACGTTTGCTCACAAGGATTGTCTTTTGCATTTTCTGATAAAAGCAACAATAAAAAAAAATCAAATATTTCGTGAAATGATATATTTTCCTCTTCGTGAGATCACTTTAAAGTACTAAGAGATAACAGTATAAACTATCCTAATAAACTTAGATGGATATGGAAGAAAATAAACGCAAACAAACTCTGTTTTTGTCGGGTTTTAAGTCTTTCAAGCTTTGCTGGTGGATGGAGACCTACGTGGCCTTCCGTGTATTATATCATGCACGAACGGGCACCTGAATAGAACCTCCGACGTTCCGTACGCTAGCATGAATGAATCCAAAGTACCTGTCGGGATTCGAACTCACAGAGGTGAGGGGCAAGTAGATTGAAGTCAACGACATTAAGCACTTGGCCACAGAAGCCCCGACATTATTAACTAATATTAATTGTGCATTACATCTTATTTTTGAGTGAAGTAGTAAGCCGGCTCTAGGACTGACGTAAGATATGCTGCTAAATGTAATCACATTCATGGCATTCTTAACAATGGTATTCATTTATATGATATTTTTCTCTTGATAATAAAGACACGCGCGTCAAACAAGTCAATAATAAAACTGTATTATCTGCTTGACACACGCTATGGATCGTTAATTTAATATCAATTCGAAATGGATCTACCATGTCAGTTTTTTACTTGAAGAATTTGTCCTTTAAAGTTTTTGTATGTCACCACTGGACTGAAGAAGACTACAAAGCGATGCCCCAAGGTCGTACACCAGAGGATGAAAGACAATATTGTGAAGATGTTTTAGGCTATACGTTTACACAAGGACAAAATGAAGAGTATCCAGAATGTGGGGAATGCTGGTGTTGTAAACCAGAAAGGTATTTTCTCATTTTTCCATCATTGATGTATCATTTTAAGTATATTTTTCCTACTATGCCGTAAAGGACATAAATGTACATTTTACTATTGTTCCACATGTAGCATTTTACTTCTTTCTATAAAGGATATATATGTAGTATTTTCCAGTTTTTCAGTAAAAGATAATTGTAAGCTTATTATTTTGAGGTATCAAAAATATAGGAATGTGCTCTTAAATTGCAGATCTTTTTTTATTCCAGTATTGTTCAATATACTGTCCAACTGTTTTAAGCATTGATAGCTTTTTGTTGGTTTTTTTGCAGTTAAAGTGCAAAGATGGCTTCTTCGCTCAAAGAGCAACCTTTCTGGACGAAATAGTCGATTTATTTTATTCATGAATGTGTTAATAGTGCTCTTAAATAAATGATTAAAATTTATTTACTCAAGTTGAACATTTTTGTTTCCTACTAAAACTAGTGGCACTTTTGTTTCAAACAGGCTCATGGTCAATGACTTTTCAAGGCAAAATAATCACTTGACAGTGGTCCAAAAATGCAGTATTAACCATATAAAATTAAAAGCACCAACCATTGTATTCTGAACGTCATGAAATCAATAAAACCATACAATGAACTAGATATGTCCATTGGACACAGATGCCCACACACTCCATTGTCAGTCTACTGACGTACAGCAGGACAGTATGACGGAGGACAAAGGAAGGTAATTCTACATGACCTACCCTTGCCCTTTAAGTGGTTGGAGCATAATAACCGACATCAAATATTTCCAATGTTGACTTCTTAATCATTTTCCGCGAAAAATTTCTTCCGCGAATTCAAATACACATTCAGTATTCCCAAAATTAAGAATTTCAAATCTCAATATTACATCCCTAATTGTGCTTAAAATGAAATAAAAAAAACACGCAAAATTTCAGGTGCACAACTACACATACTGACCAACAGTCCTGTAAATTTCATGACTCTAGGTCAAATATATCTTGAGATATCCTAGGCACAATTTGAAAATTGCAAATTTATACTAAGCCAATGGCAATAACACAACTGAATTAATCCACAAGCAAAATCAAAGGCATCGTCGGATACCCACGATTGATAAACATGTCACATAACATGCAATCTGATGAATGATAATGGTTCGGCCGTGGGTATCCGACGATGAATCAAAGGTGCACGTCCTTACATGCTGGTTCGTTGATTCTATCTGTAGCAATTTTAAAGGTTTACATGACACAACATTTAGGAAGGAATTTTACTAAAGCAATAACTCTACAAATCTGAATAAATAAAAATGCAAGCAAACTCCCAGGTGAGCAACTACACATGCTGACCAAGATTTCTATCAAGTTTCCTGACTCTAGGTCAATATACTGTTTGGGCTACGCGCGACCAAAGTTGAAAATTGCAAATTTTAACTAAGTCAAGGGCAATGACTACAACTTTTGAATGAATACACAAGCTAATCCTAAGGTACACAACAAAACATGCTGATCAACATCTCTGTAAAGTTTCACGACTACATGTCATATACTTTTTGGGTGAGGCGTGAAAAAAGTTGAAATTTTCACTAAGTCCAGGGCAATAGCTCTCCAAATAATGCATAAATCCACAAGCAAACCACCAGATGTACAACTACACGTGCTGACCAACACTTCTGTAAAAATTCATGACTCTTGGTCAAATACCTTTTCAGCTATGTGCAACACAAATTGAAAATTTTTACTATGAAAGGGCAATAACTCAGTTACAGGTTCAAATCATAAGGACTTCAATTAAACAAATGTCATTTTCCAGAGGATAAATATGCACTACAATTTCCTACAATGTTTTATATTTCCTTGCCCAGCTTTGTTCAGGCATTCTCATGCTATGATTAGTTGTGTCTCTTGTATTCAACTTTAGGATGCATTCATTTATTCTTTTTTGGACAGATTTTAAAACATTATTTGGGTCACATCTAAGCGATTGGTCCTCAATCAAACAGGCTTTTCCTGTATAACTAATTGTTAATTACCAATGCCTGGGCCAAGTGACCACCTATTTATCCCACTTGATTTCTGAATCAATGGTCATTATAAGACTCATGGTCCGAGATCAGTTATCACAGAAAAGATTTCACCACAACAGAGTATCAAACCAGTCACCCCTGGTGAGACTAGGATTTACGGTAAAGGGTCAACCCGGCCGTTAACCAACTAAGCATAGGTAAACTCAACACAATATGGAAACAAGCCCCTTGACACCAAAGATATTTTGTCTACAACTGAAACACATGGATATAAATAGAAAATAAAATTACTTATCACATATTTTATTCATTTGATAAGTGATAATCCATGAGATATAGTTCTGGTCTTGAGTGCATACATCAGAACAACGGCTAGATTGTACACTCATACCAATTGTAAGAAAAGGCAAACAGAGGTTTTCAACTCTTCATAGTGCCAAAGTTTTCTAACAAGAACATGTTTATTAAACACAAATGCCCCTGGCTCAGATTCTTGTTAATAAAACCGAGTGACCACAAACTCAATCCAAACTTAAAGGACCAGCTTAGGTATGTTTCTTGTAAATATGAGACATTGGTAAAAAAATACAAAGGCTGTATAAACACGAACTTGTTTGTCAAATACAAATGCCTTCCCCCTCCTCCGCCCCTCGCTCTGATTCTTGTCAGTAAACATGCGTCAAAAGATGTTGACCGATTCACTTACTTATGAACAGAAAAATTGCCAAAAAATTGTAAACACAGTCGTGTAACTCGACAGGTAATTGTGAAAAAATCTAAATTGGTAAGTCATTGCTATGACTTGAAATATTCAACTTGGTCAAATATATATAAATGCAAGACTTTACCTTGAACCCAGTGACCCCAAACTCAATCTAAACTTAAAGGACCAATTTAGGTATGTTCCTTGTTAATAAGAGACATTGATAAATAAATTACAAAGGTTTTTTTAAACACGAATGTTTTTGTTAAATACAAATGCCCGGGTCAGACACTTGTCAAAAATGTTTACCCATTCACTAAGTTATGAACAGAAAAATTGCCAAAAACATTGTAAACACAGTTATAAACTTGACAGAGTCATGGCGTGTTTTATAAATATGAAAAATGTAAGTTGGCAAGTCATTGCTATGTCTTGTGACGATGTACTTTATCAAATGTATATATAAATGCAAGACTACCTTAAAACCAGTGAGCACAAACTACATCCTAACTTCAATTTATAAATGTCCCTTGTAACTATGAGACATTGGTAAAAAATATACAAAGGCTTACAAAAAAAGAGTAAAAAATCTATTGTCAGCACAAAAGATATTGGCCTTGTTACTCCCAGCACTAGACCACACAAGGTGTGTTTCTTCCAAAAATGAAAAATATCAGTCTATAAATAAAGTTTGCATAAACCAATGTGCAAAAATCTATTTTTAGCACCCTTGACCTTACCCCTTTCTCAATCCAAAGGAAGAAGACCATGCACGATATCTTCCAACCAAATAAAGGCTGTATGGGCAAACGTGTAAAAATCATTTTCGTTTTTTTATTACTGGCGACCTTCATACATTTCAATCCAAAAAAAAATTACATATCATCTTTACAATCTTTACAAATATGAAAAACATCAGGCAAAAGAGAAAGGCCGTTTTAGCAAATGTGTAGAAATCAATTATGGGCCTTCACGACCTTGATCCACTGACACCTAACTCAATCAAAAGGAAGAATACCGTGTAAGCTATCATCCTTCACAATATGAAAGACATATGTCCTTAAATAAAGGTTGTATATGTAAAAGTGTAAATTTTTTTCATTTATTTTTTTGCAAAGGCGACCCTTCCAATTAACCCTTAACTCAATCCAAATGAATGAGACAATGCAAGTTTTCAAATATGAAAAATATCAGGCAAAAAAATAATGGCTGTATAAGCAAATAATTATGTAGAAATCTATTATTGGCATTCTTGACCTTGACCGACTGACCCTTAACTCAATCACTAGGAAGAATACCTTGCAAGTTATCTTCCTAACAAATATGAAAGATGTCAATAACTAAAGGCTGTTTAGGGAAAAGTGTGAAAATCTATTTACCACAGATGACCTTGACCCAACTGACCCATAACTCCATCCAAATGAAAAAAAATCTAAATTTCATGTACCAAATCTAAGACATCAGACATAAGATTTCACCTGTAAAAGTGTAAAAATCTATTTTTAACATGAGTGACATTGACCCAAAATGACCCCTTAATCCAAAAGGAAAGGTCCTCCCTTGGCATGTCTGTATTGAACACAAAAAACATCAACTTTAAAAAATAAAGGCTGTACGAGTATCAGCAGAAAACGTTAAAATTTATTTCTTACAACAATGACCTTGACCCCAGTGACCCCTTTCTCCACAAAACATAAGAGGACCATTGAAGGTATCTATCAAATATAGAAGATATTTAACTTAAATAACCTCGCAATATTGTGTACTTTGTATTGATAAGTGAAAAAATTATGAGACCATTAGTATAGATAGAACTTGAGATATATCAAACTTTCTGGTTTAGGTTAACAGTTTTGATTTTCAAACAGTAATGCCATAGTTATGTTACCTACCCAGAACATGTACATTATATTGGTGAGGAAGTGTGTAAATAATAAAGCCATTGGTACAGGTAGGACTTTGGAAAAATCCAACTTGCCATTTTAGGTTAACATGGTACATATGGATAGACAGACAGATATTTCAATTAATATATGCCTGGGGGCATTAAAAGTATTGCTTTAATGCAAAGGTTTTTTATGCAAAACAGTTAAAACTGCTAAATATATATATTTTTTTTCAAATTTATTCTAGAAAGGTTCAAGTCTATTCGATGGGAACTTTTCCATTCCACTTCCTGAACATTTGTCAAAACTAGGATCATGTGGGAAAACCTGGTTGCATCCCCAGTAGAGTTCAAAACCACGACCTCCACGTTGAGAGGCATACAACTTAACCACTAGGCTAGATCACAAGCTTTATGACAATGTAGAACAGACATTGGGCTAAACACAGTAACTCCAACCTTTCCTTAAAACTGTATAGCGAAAAACATGTTTTCTGTCATAACAATTCTAACAGCACTGCAAAAGCATAAATATGGTCATCTAAAATTGTCACATCAAGACTCTAACTCTCATTCCCTACATCTGGAAAGTCTTGCCAGTATCCTGCATAAGAGTACATATTTTCCAATCCTGCTGACAAAATCATAGATATGGTCATCTAAAATTGTCACGTGAAGACTCGAACCCACGTTCTCTACATGTGTAAAGTCTTGCCGGCCTCCTGCATAAGAGTACACAATTTCTCATCCTGCGCCAAGTTAAGTCCGCTGCCCTGTATGAGGCCTTGTAGCACATTGTTTTGAATGTAGTTCAGTTGTAGTTTGGCCTGCATCACTTCATGAATGCTAAAATACAATAATAAAATAATATTTTTCTTCTCTTTTTTCCCATCATCATTTTACTCTTAAAACAAAGAAAGAAATTTTATATAAAAATTGTTTGCACAATATGTGAAAAGTTTGAGAGTTGATACATATTTGCTGGCTCAAACCTTTGACATTTAACTGTTACCTTGACCTTTAACTGTTTAACTGTTACCTTGACCTTTAACAGTTACCTTGACTATAAACTGTTACCTTGACCTTAAACAGTAACATTGACCTTTAACTGCATCATTGACCTTGAATGTGGGCGTCTGGCAAGTGAATTTTTCACAATGTCTAAACGAGCTAAACATTTGACATTAGTACTTTCAATATGCCTAAATCTGTTCAAAAGATATAGAGTTGACACAGTTTCTTTTTGGCTTTAACTTTGGACTATTGTCTTGAAATTTTAAATTTGGGGCAACTGAAACCTGGGTCCCAGCACTTTGCCTGAATGAGGAGCACATTTGACCCAAATATCAAGAATCAAACACACCAAATAACACTAGATTTTTCAAACAAAGAACCCAGCAAGAAATGATTTAAATAGAAATTAACCAAATCTATTTTTTTATCCTCGACAGCTCAGGCAGACAAAGAGATAGGCAATCAGGGTACATGTATAATATTTTTAAACCCTTCAGCCATTTGCAAAAAATGGCGATAAAATATTTTATAACATATACCACGGTGCAGGAGTGTAATAAAACCATTTAACAAAACCAATATTAATATTGACATAAAATTTGTATTTACCTTTTACCATCTGCGTCAGTTGTCAATGCTTTTAACTCCTCTTCTTTGGCTCTCCGTTTCTCCTCGATCTCCGAATATAATTTTCTGCATTTCATTTTTAGAGCTGTTAAATAAATGAAAAAGTGTCTTAAAATATAGTACTATTAATTTTACACCTTACAAAACTTGACTAATAAACTTCAAATATCTGCACCACATATTTTAATAGAAATTCTAAGTGGATCAAATCTTAAATATTAAGGTAGTCTTACTGCTGTGCTCTGTGGTCAAGTGGTTAATGTTGTTGACTACAACCACTTGCCTCTCACAACGACATTAACCACGCTGCCACAGAGGCCTGTTTGCTGCATTATTCTAACATCTCGTACATAAAAATGTGTAATATCAAATCGGTCCAAACAAAGAGAGAAAATAAACCCTTAGCATGCAAGCGCTTTAGGATTCCACCTGTGCGACCAGTGCAGAACAAGATCAACTAGCATACCCTTTGCTGTCGGATCATGGTATGCACTGTTTGCGACTGAGCCAGTACATATTTTGAAATATTCCTAAAAGTTATGAATGGTTTTGGTTTTGTCCAGATTGGAAGATCATGTCATTTACTTATCTTTACCGTATATAGGAATTTCTCATTATCAGAACTTTCCAATTTCAAACAGAAAACAGACCATAAAACAAAAACAAAAATCAACAAAGAGAGCGTTCAAGAGAAGTGTTTAATAAACTTTGTTATATTTCTGTAGGTCAAAGATATAAGACAATGTGGAATAATAATTTCATACACAAATTTTTCAGTTTTAGTTTCTCAAGGTCAGCAATATATGATTAAAGCATTATACAACTAATTTTTACGGTTTCATGAATAATACCGTATAAGTTGGTTAATTTTGCGACTTGGAAATATTTGCCATTTTTGCAAACTAAAATTATTCACAAATATTTGATCGCGCAAAAAATATTTATTTTTAGGCAAACTTTCTTCTATCATTTGAAATCAATGTTTTCATAAAGCATCTTACATGAATAAGTTTGACTGTTCAATTATTGAAATTGATATTTCTCATTACTTGTTTGTTTAAGTTTGGTCTTAATAAATCACAAATGTGTTAATGAAACAATAAATGTGTTAGTAACACAGTAGGTTATTCATATAACAAAAACTGTTTCAAAATATGACTACAAAGTGTAATAAGGTCCTTTATCAAATTAACAACAAACAAAAGGACCCGACTGGTAATAAGTTAATGAATTCTTGTTTGAAAATAAAACAAATGATCTAGAATTAAAACAAAGTTACATCCAGACCATCAGATTTAACAGTTGTAATCACAGTAAATCTATTCGCTGAATAGGGATACAGTTTTGCCACATGAGTATTAGTCAATTATTAAAAATATATATGTATACAAAAAGTTACCTTTTCTTTTCTAAAGTTTCTGAGTCATCGTGGCCAGTGAGTTTACATTGAAGAACAGATAATGTCACCTCATTCAAACATTCTCTGAAATAAATGGAGATTTAATCATAAATCGTAGCTTTACTGTAAAACAAGAGCTGTCCATACTTGACACTAAGGAAAGAGGCATAACTCTGTAAAAAATGTAAAAAGTATATACCAATTCACAAGTATGGCAACATTTGTCATAAATCCTTTATTAACACTAAACCTGTTTACTTCATATTATGAATTTGCCCTGTTTTGAATTTGGAACAGTTCATTCTGGGTCTAAGGGATTTCAACATCAACTTTAAATGTTTATCTTGATATCCCCAAAAATGATAATGGAATGTACCAAAATTGGAAGCTGAACATGTTCATTCAAGAAATTCAGCAGTTTCAGAGTAAAGGTTAAGTCTGTTATATAAAAGTCATATTGCGATGTTCGGGGAAGAACTCTGGCTTTCTGTCCATTCTTTTTTCTCCAAGAAAAAGGCTTCATTTGAGTTGAACCACCGATGGATTACTCACAAGACGGAATCCAAAGTACCAAAAATGAGATGAACGGAATCCCTAAAGAATGCCCAAAACCACAAAACTAAAAATGTTAGCAACAGACGAGACAGATTTAGTCACAGTACAGACAAATCAAAATAAAGGTGCAGAATGTACACCAGAGGTACCTGCAGCACCTAAACCAGCACCAAGAAGGTCTACTAGAGATAAGAAGCCTCCAGAGCCAGCAGCAGTGAAGTGCATATGATACCAAGCTGGTGACTTTAACAATCCGAAAACAAAGGAATCTATGTAACCTAAGTTTTAGTGTCACGTACCCTTTCAGTATAAGTTCTCTGCCATCATTTAATGTGCTGTGTTGTAGTAAATCTTCTTTCAGCTGATCATATCTGAAATAAGTGTGATGGAAAGGTAAATTACATCTACAGGAAAGCATAAAAAATATACTGTTTTACATTCAGTTTAGAAGCTTGACCTCCAAGAATGATCTTAATCATAGAGCCACTTGTCTGACTTGAAACACAATGTCTTATCCAGATAAACATTTGTGCCGAGTTATATCAGACTTACTCTATTCATAACCTAGGTACATCTTGGTTTATACAAAATTTATTTAAAATGTGATGTTCTACATCCTTTCCTTTTTGATAATTAGAATTTATTTTAGTTTGACTGTGAAGGAAGCTTAAAGACACACTTACAAATCTGTTCCTGGAACCAACCAGTACTGAATTCAGTTACAAATGTAAAGATTCTTGTTCAAGGAAACCAGACTTTGAACCCATGTGGATAGCGATCCCTAGATAACTAGTCTGACGTGTTTACCACTCGAAAATTCTGCCATTTACAACTTGCATTCTGTACAATACTGCTGCCTCCTTCAACCCTCGAAACAGAAATGGCACATCCCCTTTCTGGCAAACCCCCTGATGTACCTTTTTGATAGGGGACGACGTCGAAAAAGTGATCACCATTACTCAAACAAAACAGTGTTTGAGGCCTTAATAGGGCGTTTTGTCACTGTTGGAGGCCTCAAAAGGGGGGGGGCGAAAGCGCGTTGTTACAATATCTCGTTAAATATGAGATAAAGGGTTAAAGGTAAACCCGGTTTAAGCTTTGTTTAGTTGCATAGCTCAAGAAAATTGTCTTCAATGGTGAGTGAGATACTTCGATCTCCTTTTGTTCTATGATTTTCTATGATTTTCTTAATCTGATTTTCTTTTGTACACAATAGTTCATAAATCTTAACTATCGTCTAGCATTTGACAAAGTGAAAGCTAATTGGGCTCATTTGTTCAATAGAGAGAAAAAATAGTGTAATAATAAATTATTATCATGAGAAAGAAATGACAACTTGTCTCGAACTTATACGACCTACCTTCGACAGAAGGACCAATATGGGGAGCTTTATGGAGTCATTCATTTGCAACATTTTAGAATTATTTTAATTTAATCAGTATATCAAAGCTTTGACTTATTATTATAATGTAAAGCCTGATTAACGACTGACAAGTTACTACGGGTATCAAAGCGTCAGGCGAAGGAACTAGAGACTAACGTAACAAACTCTCCTCAGCATTTACTTCCCTTGATCAGTACAGTATACAACACCGCCATCAAGCATATCATTTTATAGTTAGACGTATGACCGTCGAACACACAATGGGAATATCTTACATCAAGACGGGCAAAACTGTGATTTTTTTTAAATCACCAAGTTTTTATTTTAGTATTAGATAATAATTTTTTTCACGGGACATGCTGCTTTAGACCGTTCCTGTAGTGAGTTCAGTGCATAGGATTTTATCTAAACATTATCTGCGTTGTTCAGAGTTACGTCACTTAAGTTTCTTATCTGGATGGGTTTTAAGAATTTAAGATTTTTTGAGGGGGTGCATTCACTTTCTTACCCATTAATTGTCAAAAAGTGACATTCTCGATACTTGGCCTATAAAAATATTGTCAAATGTTTTGTATGCGGTTTATCAAAGTACAATAAACTTTGTTTTTGTTACTTCTCTTAGATGTGGTAGTTTTTGGTATTTTGTTTTAGGTTTGTCTGCTGCTTTTTTTGTTTATGTTGTTGTTGTTTTAATTCTGGTTGCGAGGGTGTTGTTTGTTTTATTTATTTATTTATTTATTTATTTATTTATGTATTTATTTATTTATTTAATTATTTATTTTTCTAAGAAATACTGGGATTTAGAAGGTTGAATACCGTCGGTCGTACATTCTGCACGCATAATATACAAGCTGTCTTGGCTCTTTTCTGGTGGCAATGGACAGTATTGATCAATTTCAGCAAATAAATTTTTCATCATTTGATTTACACTTTAATGAATAAATGTGAAGTGTGTTTGTTATGTGATATTTATCGTTCAGATCTAATATAACGTATCAGGATTGTAAAAATTATTGTATGTATTTCAACGTAGTTTGAAAAGTGAAAAACCTGTTCTTTTTGTTATATATAAAACATGTTATTTATCAATCAGATTTGTCCCCAAATACTGACAATATGAAAATCTAAGTCTTACAAATTATGTTGAGTGAAAACTATTTGTAATGTAAGGTAACATTTGGAATTGAGAAATTTTTCCTTAAATGTTGATTTTGAAGATACACATTGCAGCTATTTGTATGGAAGGAAACACTATCAGCATATGTAATCACAGCTTTCATAAGCTTTTATCTTCATAATGTTTCAAGAAACAAAAGGACAGTGAAACATCAGTTTGTAAAGAATGAAAGTTATCACGATATTACCATCATATGTATTAAATCAAAACCAGCCGAAAACCAACAAATTTTCATACTCACATTTATTTTATATTTTGAAGCGTGGGATTAATCTGATTCTCTCTCTATTGAGGTAAATGGTCATACAAAATATGTACGTATACCAATAATGATTGTTCCATTGTCATATATCAAAACGAGAAACATCTTGCAGATACCTTTCAAGTGTGTATGATTCGTGATATCTATCAGATTTGTTCCCAAAACTGACAAGATGAAAATCTAAGTCGTGTGATTATTCTTTGTAATGTAAGGTAACATTTGATATAACAATACTTATTGGACATAAATGATTCTAGATATCATTATTTGCATTCCTTTCAATTTGTTATCCCTTAGCAATTAACGATTTTGTACGGAGATAATTCATTTGATGTTTCTATAGCGCGGCCTAGGTAGACTGTTCAATACACGTAGCGCCGCCTTTCTGAACTGAATGTCTGTTTCAAAATTGAACATACAAATATGTCTAAAAAGGATTGATTTATTTGTGTAACACTCGCCTAACGGCGTTATTCAAAACAATTGCACAAACTGGCTGGATTGACAAACGGGCTAGATATTCAAACATTGAAATTCATAATACATGACATGAATATTGTACGTAATCAGAATGAAGTGGTCAGGAACAAAATATTCTGCTGACATTTTAGTAGGTTTGACGATGTTTTGACAGATGCTCAACTGGCTGTCAATAAAATAAACTGATGAATTTCATTCATTCTAGGAATTCTGCAATCATTTTTTAATCACAGAATAAACACTATTTGTATTCATTTTTTCTATTTTTTATTTATTCTGTTTTAATGTACTATTTTTTATTTATTTAATTTTATTTTATTTTTTTTATATTTTCGTCTGTAAATAATTGATCGTAATTATGATACAGTATGTTATTGAATGTCGTCTTTTCTTAAACACCACCAACAGTTGAATATTTTCCCGTTATACTTTTGTGTGCCCCTCTAAGATGGTGCAATATGATTTGCGCTTGTCCGTCCGTCCGTGCATTCTCATGTTGTGTCGCATGTAGCTCTAAAAGTACTTGACCTAGAGTCAACAAAATTTACAGGAATGTCAATCAACATTCGGACACATTTCTAGTCATTATTTTGCTATTTCGATTGCTATTTCGTTTCAAGAGATTTTTTTTATTTATTTCTTTATTTTGTTACATAAACTTAATGTCGTCCTAAACTTTTATTATTACATTATATGGATTTAATGTTATCCTAACCAAGTATTATTAACTTACACGTCATCCTAGCTTATCTTTATTTCTGAATAATGCCTATCCACAAGTTAATACAGTACATGAGATACATGTAGATATCAGCATATATCTTTATGATATTTGTTTCAAATGAACGGAATGTGTTACATGTGCAATTTGTTTTGAAATTATGTTTTGTTATTCATTGTTCATGTCCCATGCTCTTTGAATGATCAGTTTTATAAATCTGTTATGCTCTTCAATATTGGCGGAATACTGGATGTGCATTACTGTGTCTTAAATAAAGTAATATATTGACTTTCATGTAAAATATTCAATCACTATAATTTTAATGTCCAGAGAGCAAAAGAAGCAAAACATAGTTCATCTATATGGTCAAAAAGTAAATGTTTGGGAACAGTATCAAGATATCCAGATAAAAAGGTTTTGAAACGTAACAATAACATTCATTTCGAGACTATCCGTTGGATTGCGCAATATAAACTTCAACTAGATCCTTCAATAAATTAACTTAGAAACATGATTCATTCCAGCAGTATCAGTATATGTAATTGCGGCTTTCATCAGCTTTGATGTAAATAACAAAGGGAAAATAAAACAAAGGTTTGTAAAGAATGAATGTTATAACTTTCATAATCACCATATTCAATCAAAGTTATACCATTAATGTTCTATAATGCGTACGATTTCTACGACTACTTTTTACTTGTGGACCATATGCCGCTTTTCATAGATTTTCACTCACGTGACACATTGAAGTCCACATGATGATTAACATATAGGAACACATGTACGAATGTTCAAAACTCAATAAGTTACCTCTACCAAAATGACAAACAGCATGATTTCGGCTCTTTTAAGGGGATGGGTTTGTTTGCTTCTTGTTTCTGATGAGTTTTTTTGTTTTGTTTTTTGTGTCTTTGTCTAACTTAAAGGTCACTGCTGGGGTTCGAACTTTGTCAATTTTTACCACCACACTTAACATGTAATTGGTGGTTTATAACTAGAATCCTTCGGGGGCATTTGTCACGTTCTGTGACAGCTCTTGTTTTTTATTTTTTTTTATTTATTTTTTTTTTATTTTTTGATGGGGGGGGGGGGTATTTTAGTTTTTTGTGTCAGTATTATTACGCCGATTTTAACACAATTTCTTGACATCAACTTGAGCGCCATTTTTATATTTTATTTTTTTATTTTATTTATTTATTTTTTTTATTTATTTATTTTTGATAACTTATAAGAATTACTTATTTCTCAAACAAATGACCATAAGTCTCAATGCCTGAGATAAATGGCTTAGAGAAATTACTCTTCAACTGTGAGGATATATACAGCGTGCCCTGCATTACTAACAAAAAATCTGCTTTTCTCCCAATTGATCATATAAATTATCTACGTATACTTAGAGTGAATTTTCCATTGTAATATATCAAAAC